ATAAAACTTGATAGGGTGAGATGCATTTGTCAAGAACAAATTTTAACCTAGTAACTAAAAGATTTACCTTAATTTTATAAATAACATTACAAAAATTAATTGATCTAAAGTCTTGAACTTTCACCGGATTTTAGCTCTTAGGGATAAAAGTGATAGAGGCGTGATTCAATCTCTTGAGGATTGTTTTTTTAAGAACTTACAAATAAAGTCAAAAAATGTCAAAACCCATTTTAGTCCAAAAGTTTTGATATGCGACAATTGGAATACCATTAGTTCCAGAAACCTTTAGGCTTTCAAGACTCATTAGTCATTACTCTTTACAACTCCTTGTACCTCTTCAAATGAAGGCATCACATTCAAAACCTGGTTATCCTCATCAGAAATGAGAAATCCACAAGAGAAATTAAGGTCATTCTTGGTTTATTGCTCTAAGAATGATTCTTTTAATTCACAATCATTCTAGGCAAGAATAAGTAACATTAGAACGTTTGGTTACAAAATTTCTGCCACGGGCCTCATTCTTTTTAGAATGAAAAATCTATCCATGGCACAAAAATTGAGCTAACATGCAACATGAAAAATGCCAACATGAGTAGTGTATGTATGCCTATATTATTATTTTGGTTGATAAAAAAGAATACAATTGAAATTTGTAACCTAGGTTCAAAATTTATTCTCATTCTTGCTATTAAAAGAATTTATTTTTTGGGAAAAAAACATTTGATTTGTAGCAACATTTTCTCATTCAAACTTTTTGTTTAGATAACCCTTGAACTTTGCCAAAAAAAACCACTTTAGACCCAAAAGAAATAAAAAGGACAATGTTAGATTTGTCATTGACAGATGTATTGGACAATGAATAAAATAATAAATATATGTTTATGTGGCATTACTCAAGTTAGAAAATGCCACTTTAATAAAGTTAATCAAATAAATTATATAAATTACACTAATTAAGATAATTAAATAAATTAAGCCAATTATGTAAATTAAGCAATTGAATAAGTAAATTAAAGAGTAAATTACAGATAAGTACCATGTACTTTGGGGGTAATAACACTTAGGTACCTTGAACTTTCAGAAATAGACACTTAGGTCCATTTCCGTTAACTCACGTTACAGATTTTTGTAAAGTTACCGAAATGCCCATATTTCTTAAAAATTTTTAAATCATAAATTTTAAAAAGTCCAAAATAACCCTGATTAAAAGTTGGGTTCTATCGGTCTGGACACCACTGTTGCTCACCGTGGGGAGAGAAACTATTGCCGTTGTGGGTAGAAGAAATCATTGCCGTTGCCTGAGAAGAAACCGTTGCCGGCGTGGATCCAAAAAACATTGCCGCCACTTTAGAAGAAACCATCTCCCTTCTCAGCATATGTGTTAGATATCAGCACATAAGAACCTGACTCCATGGGTTCCATCTGCATTAAAGCCTCAGTAGCCCTTTTACCCATTTCGACATTCCCATGAATCCTACAAGCCCCAAGTAAGCTCTGCAGTGCAGATAACCCTGGCTTTGTTGACATCTAATGCACAAGCTCCTCTGCCTCATCGAGCCACCCTGCCCTGCCCAACATATCCACAACACGTGAATAATGTTCAAGGGATGGTTCAATGTGATGATCTTTGACCATTGAATCAAATACTCGACAACCCATATCTACCATCCCACGTCGGTCACATGCAGTTAGAGCAGATAGATAGGTGATTGAATCTAGTGGGATTGCTTTTCTTCGCATTTCCTTACTTTTGGATAGGAAGGGCTAGTAGGTCAGACCTGTGGAGAGAGAGAGAGAACGTTAGGAGCCCCGGATGCTGCTTTAAGGCGGAGACTCCGACGATCAACTTAGTATGGGTGTGACAAGGGGTGGACGAGACCTAAGATTGTGATGCTCAAACAAGGTCACAAGGGAGGTAAGGAGGTTTTTAGCAGTAAAGAGTCTAGATGCTCACATTGAGGGGTCACCTCCTTGAGACCCCTTGGAGATAAGTGGACGCAGATGGTCAGGATGTGGTCTGGAGGGCGCAGCCATCCGCGGCCGCACTATTAGCCTTGCGTCATGTGCCGGCCTCTGCTCTGCATGCACTCTCATTGGATCCACTCCGCATGCAGCTTTCTACCACGTGTGCGTGCGAGCGATTGGCCTGAACTATAAGCGCCTACATCATGTGCATGCCCAGAAATTAAAGCATTCCATGATATGGTCTCTTTATAACTAATCTCATCAAAGATGTTCTTTGACTCCTTCATGGAGTCAAATTTAGAATACATGGTAATGAAATTGTTGGAAACAATCAATTAGACAGAAAACCAGTTTTTATACAAAATCCATGAATTGTATGTCCTTTTACCAAATTCTCAACTGATATTTCATTTATAGAAATCATGGTCGTCCATGAAATTACATTGTGTTCAGTCATGCCCTCAAACACCATATTAGCATCCTCAACCACCTCACACTTTGAATAGATTGAGATGAGAACATTACAAACTGAAGCATGAGTCCCATACCCAGATCTCAAAATGAGATCATGTTTTTATTATCTCCCAAGTTCCAAGCTTTTTTCATGGCCACAAGCTGAAATAGCACTAGAAAAAGAAACATGACATGACCAAGCTCCATATCTTCCTTTACCAACTCAACAAAGATATAAACCGCTTCTACCCCATAATTTCCTTCCTGGACATATCCTGAAAGTAGAGCATTAATTCCAAGAAACCAAAATACCTTTGGGGCATTCCATCAAACAATGTCTTGGATTCTTGTAGATAGCCCCACCTTGAGTACATTGTTATAAGTGCATTCCCAACAAATGTTTCAGAGTCAAACCCATATTTAATTACAAGGGAATATCCTGAATATCTGAGCAAAAGTTAAGAATAGTAGTATAAGTCACAACATCAAAGGAGAGCCTAGTTTGATGCATTTGAACAGTGAATCTTCGCGCATCCTGACTTTTCAATGGAAACCTGAAAGAATTGTGTTTCAGGAAACAATATCCGGGCTACTTAAGTTCTTGAAGATTTCAAAAGCTTGATCAAATTGTCCAGATTTGTAGTACATATTCATCAGAGAATTTGACATAGTGACAAACGAATCAAACCCAGATTGAGTCATTTTTTGTTGGGTCATCTCATTAGAGAACTGTTCAGATTTGTAGTAAATCCAATATAGTTTGATTGATCAATTACATGAAAAATATATTTGTATACTTGTCTTGAAAAATAACTTTTTTTTTATTACTAAAACCAGTTTTTAATTTGTCCCACATTGAAAAATTATAGGATTTGTTTTGAGTTTTTAAGTAAGAACTTATTTACACTTTTTAGATATAAAGAGGAGAGTATGGAGGTTTGCTACTGCAATGTGCATGCACGTGTCTGCAGTGCAATTGAGGCAATTACAATTTTTGGAATTGTGACTCTTCAATGAGTCTTTTTTTTTGAACCAATACCTTCCTCTGCTCCATGACTCTTAAAAAATTATTTAAGGAGCGTGAATCAAGCAATTGAACACACAAGTTTTGGCGACCCCAATTCCCAACATCGAGTTATTTTGCTTCAAACTTAAAACAGGTCAATGAAGTTGGTAGCTGAAGTCTTGTGAATTTATTTCATCCTTATAGGCAAAATGGTCCAAAAATACATGAAAAGGGTAATTTTGGTATTATAAAGTGCTTAACTGATGGAATACTAACAAGTGGACCTAAGTGTCTATTTTTGAATGTTTGGAATACCTAAGTGTTGCATTTGAAAGTTTGGGGCACCTAAGTGTTACTACCCCCAGAGTACATGGTACTTATTTGCAATTTACCCTAAATTAAATAAGGAAACTAAATTTATTAAGAAAATTAATAAACAAAGCCAATCAGATAAATATATAAATTAAATTATTTAAGGAAACTAATTTTATTAAGTAAATTAAATAAACAAAGCTAATCGATCTAAATAAGTAAATTAAGCCAATTAGGCAAGGTTTTAAAAATCGACCTAAAGACGAAATTGCTTTGGCCATCATTTTTTGGATTAGCGGTTAGATCATCCGGTTCGAATGGGTCAACCTATGACGTTTTGAAAAGTAAAAATAATTAAAATAAAGGCCCTTAAAACCATTCATTGGGAGTTTGGTGGTTTAACTATCTGAGTTAGCTGTTTATTGACCAAGTCAACATATTTTTGGAAAATTCCAAGCCAAGTATAAAATGGAACTAGACAATTGATCGGTTCTTAGGTTGAACAATTTGACCACTTGAGTGAATGACGATTTTAGAACCATGTAATTAAGTGAATTAACTAATTTCTTAAGTAAACTAAGCTAATTAAACTAAATAAGTCAACTAAGCGAATTAAAGTTAAGTAAATAGAGTAATTAAATAATCAAAACTAATTAAGGTAAATAAATAAATTAAGTGATTGCTAATTTACTATTAGTTAAGCTAATGAAATTACTATTTAAGTAATAGTTTACTTTTAATTATTGTTAATTTAATGACTCTAATTTGATAAAATCCTCAAAGTAAATCTAGTTCAAGATTAATAAAATTTATTTTTTAACTCGTAGATTTTTTAACATATAAAGTGGCATTTTCCAAACTTGAGCAATGCTACATAAGCATGCTTTTATTATTTTATTCATTGTATAATGGAATCACTAATGACATCTCTAACATCGTTTATTTTTACCAAAGTGACTTTTTAATCACAGTTTGAAGGTGAAAATGGTCATTTTAAATTTTTAGGGTCTAAAGTAGTTTTTTTTTTTTTTGCTAAATTTCAAGAGACAAAAATCATCTCCTTATGCCCATTTTACCCATTTTTTTCCATTCTAAAATTTTACCGTTGGGCACCATAAATGAAAGTTGAACCATACGTGGCCTAAGTTAAAATTTCTATAATACTATTTCCTTGTTCACAAATTTGTATCTTTATGAGAGAGAACCGTTGAGAGGCTGCTTAACTAGAAACCAACAAAGAAAAAAAACAAACACTAACCAAAAGCAGACAAAAGCCAAAGCACTCTATACAAAGAGGAGATACAAAACAAAAAGAGAGATTGAGCAATTAAAAAATCAGCAACTATACAAAGTTACAAACAAACCATTAATCCAAAGAGATCAACAGTTCAACACCATAAATCCACCAAAGTTACAAAGGAATTCAAAAGGTGAGGAGAGGAATCCAACACCAAGAGAGGGAAAAGGGTTACAAAATCTCCATTACAGTTACAGAGAGGAAACCCATCCCACCCCACCAGTACCAAGAACTAAGAACCCCACAACGAGAGGAAGAAAACTAAAAACTAGGGTTTCTTCTTCTCCTACTAGCAGCAGGCGTTTCGGAATTATAAGAGGACATGTGGCTTCTCAAAGGGTATTAACGACGTGTAAAATCAGAAATCTTATTTCCGAAGCCAGAGAAATAATCAGATGAGATCTCAGAGCTGCCAACTTTGCTTCTTGAATGGTCCTCAAGCTTTCATGGCCGCGTTTCAAGACGGCTTACTCACTTTCTCCAGAACTCGTCCGTTGCGCCTCTTGCCAGGCAGATTTCGCAACAGAAACCATGAAGGCTCTGTACTTGGGATTCTCTGCCGAGAAATCATACATGGCTTTCTCCCAGAAAATGTGGGAAACCATGAAAGCCTGCGGGGATCTCAAATTGATATCAGATGGTCGAAAACTTCATGGCCACTTGATTTCCACCGGCTTTCAATCTTCTGTTTTCCTTCAGAATCATCTTTTGAATATGTATTCTAATTGTGGCTCAATTGAAGACTCTCTCCGTGTTTTCCACGAAATCAAGAACCCGAATGTTTTCAGCTGGAACACAATGATAAGTGGCTTAGCTGAGTCTGGCTTGGTGGGGGAAGCAAGGCAGGTGTTCGAGGATATGCCTGAGAGAGATTGTGTTTCATGGAATGCTATGATGTCAGGTTATTTCCAAAACGGACAATGTGAGGAAACTTTGGAGGTTTTTGTTTCCATGATGAGAGATTATAACTGTGTCCCAGATCCATTCTCTTTCTCCTGTGTGATGAAGGCATGTGCCTGCCTACAATTCCTTGAGTTGGGACTCCAATTGCACGGTCTTGCAAAAAAATTTGGTTTTGGAACACACCCAACCATCGGAATTTCAGTTCTTGATGTATATGTCAGATGTGGAGCCATAGATTTTGCCCATCAAGTGTTTTGTCGGATTTCCAGTCCAACCATTTTTTGCTGGAATAGTATGATATTTGGTTATTCTAAATCATATGGGGTAGGACAAGCACTATTCTTGTTCAATCAGATGCCTGAACGTGATGCTGTTTCCTGGAACACAATAATTCCTATATTGTCACAACATGGACTTGGAGCCCAAACTCTTTCTATGTTTATTGAGATGTGCAATCAAGGTTTCAGACCAAATTCTATGACTTATGCTAGCGTCCTCAGTGCATGTTCTAGTATTCTTGACCTTGAATGGGGTAGACATCTGCATGCTAGAATTCTGAGACTCGAACCAAGCATAGATGTTTTCATGGGTAGTGGTCTGATTGATATGTATGCAAAGTCTGGAAGCTTAGAGAATGCAAAGCAGGTGTTTGATAATTTAAGTGAACACAATGTAGTCTCTTGGACTTCTCTTATTGGAGGGTTTGCACAGAATGGGCTTGAAGAACAAGCTCTTTTGTTATTTAATCAAATGAGAAAGGCACAGGTTGCCTCGGATCAGTTTACTCTTGCTACTGTTCTGGGAGCTTGTTCAAGCATAAAAGATATTTTCCTTGGAACCCAGCTCCATTCTTATGCAGTGAAGATTGGGCTAGATTCCTTTGTTTCCACAGCCAATGCTCTACTAACCATGTATGCAAAATGTGAAAACACTCAGATGGCAATCCATATCTTTAACTTAATGCCTGTTAAAGACATAATATCATGGACAGCAATGATTACTGCATTCTCTCAGGCCGGTGATGTTACCAATGCCAGGACATATTTTAACAGGATGCCGGAGCGGAATATAATCACTTGGAATTCAATGTTGGCCACATATATACAACATGGGTTTGGAGAAGAGGGTCTCAGGTTGTATACTTTGATGCTGAGAGAAAACATGAGACCAGATTGGATTACATTTGCAACTCTCCTTGGTGCCTGTGCTGATTTTGCAGTGTTGCGACTTGGCAACCAAATTGTTGCTCAAGTCGTAAAAACTGGATTAAGTTCTCATGTGCCTGTTGCAAATGGTATTGTTACCATGTATTCAAGATGTGGGCAGATTCAGGAAGCGCAAAGTGTTTTTGATTCTATAATTGATAAAGATTTAGTATCTTGGAATGCAATAATGACAGGATATGCTCACAATGGTCAAGGAAGGAAGGTGATCGAGATTTTTAAAAACATGTTGAAGGTAGGCCCTCCACCAGATCACATAAGCTATATTGCTGTCTTATCGGCTTGCAGCCGCTCAGGTCTTGTAGCAGAAGGAAGGTTTTATTTTGATTCCATGACAAAAGATCATGGAATCTCTCTAAAGTCAGAGCATTTTGCCTGTATGGTTGATCTTCTTGGTCGGGCTGGACTTCTAGAAGAGGCCAAGCATTTGATTGACAAGATGCCCATAAAACCAGGTGCTGGAATTTGGGGAGCTCTTCTTGGTGCTTGCCGTATCCATGGAAACACGATGATGGCAGAATGTGCAATAAGAAATTTGCATGAATTGGATCCAGAAGACCCAGGAAGTTATGTCCTATGGGCCAATATATATGCTGATGCTGGAAAGTTGGATGGTGTTGCAAAAGTTAGGAAGCTTATGAGGGAGAGAGGAATCCGTAAAAATCCAGGCTGTAGCTGGATTGAAGTCAAAAACAGGGTACATGTCTTTACAGTAGATGATGCTAGCCACCCACAAATCAATGAAGTCCACGGAATGTTGGAGGAGATTATCAAGAAGATAGAGAGCACAGGATATTATGTAAGAAAAACTACTTTTGATGGATTCCGGGGGTACCATAGTGAGAAGCTTGCTGTGGCATTTGGGTTGATACATTTGCCTGCTTGGATGCCCATCCATGTTATGAAGAATCTTCGTATATGCACTGATTGTCATACGGTTATAAAATTGATATCCCTTGTTACTGCAAGGGAATTAATAGTACGGGATGCCAACCGTTTCCATCATTTCAAAGAAGGATCTTGTTCTTGTGGGGACTATTGGTGATATAAGGTATGTAAAGTATCTATTTATTAGTTGTTTTTAATCAACTCTTGAACTTTTGTGATAATATTCATTTTTTAAATTACCCTTATCGTTTAGTTAATTGACTAAGCGTACCCTTACTGTTTGAAAATTGACTAGTGTTACCCCTACTGTTTCTAACTACCTAAACCGTAAAGATGTGACATCACATGATTGGTATATTTTCCAAAATCCCTAATATACCCTTTTATGGTCGAAAATCCCTAAACCCTTCGCAGAGGTTTCTCCTACCAAGCCCAATTGTTGTATTCGAACTATAAGCACCTCATCACCGATTGAACCCGAGATGAGGTAGTTGAGGCGAGGTGGGGGAGGGAGGGTTTGATGGCGGTGACTATTGTGTTGTAGTACCTCATCACCGGCTGAACCAAAGATGCAGTGGCAAGGCGAGGTGGGGAGCTTGCAATTGAACAAACCGAATAGGGATTTCTCTCTTCTTCTCCTTCTCTACAATCAAACAAATTGAACAGGGATTTCTCTCTCTTCTTCACCTTCTCTGCAATCGAACAAAACCGAACCCCTGTCCCCTGTCCTAAAGTGATTACAAGTTCCCTCTTCTTCGTCTTCTATTTGTCTTATCTACAACCGAACAAACCGAACAAGGCTCTCTCTCCTGGTTCCTTCTCATTGTTGAAGACGCTAGACGATTACAAGTTCTCTGGTTAGGGTCAGAGCGAGAGGGGTCGGGCAACTTCCGAGGGCAGTGCGATTTTATCAGTGGTTCTCCTTTCTTGGACACAAGTGGCTGAGACTAACTCCGGAACTCTAGAAGAAGAACGAAGGAGAAGCTTAGAAACCCTAGACTAAAATTGATCGAATCATGGTGAAGCTTCTTCACCTGTAACCATGATCGTTTGATCTCATTTCAAATCAACGATACAAAGAGTTGAATGGGCCTTCGTAAAGAATCATTCCAAAAATCTCTTCGGGCACATCAAAGACTATTAGCCAATATAATAACCTCTTCTCCTGTCATTAACGTGATCTCTTCCTCGATTGATCAACCTTCTTTTCTATCCAAGGCAGACTACTAAACCCCTGTCCTAAAGCGATTACAAGTTCCCTCTTCTTCGTCTTCTCTACAATCGAACAAACCAAATAATGCTCTCTCTCCTACTTCCTTCCCATTGTTGAAGACGCTAGACGATTACAAGTTCTCTAGTTAGGGTCAGAGCAAGTGGGGTTCGGCAACTTCTGGGGCAATGCGATTTTATTGGTGGTTCTCCTTTCTTGGACATAAGTGGCTGAGACTAACTCTGGTAAAACTTAGGAAACCCTAAAAGAACGGAGAGCTTTGAACTCAGGTAAAGTCGGAAACATAGAAGAAGAACAGAGGAGATTTTGAATTTGATTTAAGGGCAAAATGGACATTTCAGCCCTTTTGTTAATATTTTAACGGTAATGGTAATTTTTAGAAACAGTAAGGGTAGTCTTAGTCAATTTTCAAACAGTAAGGGTATGCTTAGTCAATTAGCTAAATGGGTAGTTTAAGAAATTTACCCAATTCATTATTGCCATTATTTTTATGTAGTGAATTCCCTTGAAAAATAATGTAAGCTATTTATGTATTTTCTATATTTACATTTTTGTTTGGGGGGGGGGGGGTGTTGGGATCTTTTTGTAAGGCTCCGTTTGGTTTGTGGGATGAGGGTGAGAAAAAGGGAATATTCCAAAAATATTCCTTTCTCTCTTATTTGTTTTGAGGGAAACAGGGGGATGGGATGAGAAAAATGTGGGATGTGGGATCCCAAAATTGTGTAATCGGGGTCGCACCGTGTAATGGTGCGACCCCGATGGGAAAACTTGAGAAAATTCATTTGCTCGAGGAAGGGGGATGGTTCTTCTTCTTCTTCAATTGGAGTAAGGCAACGAACCAGCGATGAAGAGTCTCCTTACCATGGACCAGTGGCAATGACAGTGAATAGCAACGGCGATGAATAGCGATGAACCAATGATGATGGCGAACAGTCCCCCTTTTGACAGTGGTGACGAACCAGCGATGAAGAGTATCCTTATCATGGTCTAACGGCGACGGCGAACAACGACGAACCAGCGATGGTCCCTCCTCCTTGGTCTTTCCTCTCTCTCTCTCCTCTCTCTCTCCCCCTCCCTCCCTCTCTCTTCCTCTCTTTCTCTCTTCTCCTTTGTTTTCGTTTTTGCTCCCTTGTTACCATCAAACCAGATATTGTTCATTGCCTTCCCTATTCGAACAGAGGAGGCGGCAGTGGCGACAATCCTTCATCATTTTCTTCATTGTGCGGTGGCAAGAGAACCAGGTCGTGGCGATCTGCTTCTTTCTCTGATCGTTGTTTTCTTCACCCCTTTGAATTTCCTTCTTTCTCTGATTTTCGCTGCAATTCTTGGTAGCAGTGATCTGCTTTCTTAGCACTCCCATCTCTTTCGGTACTTTTCCTACTACTTTTCTATATAAACCAAACAATGAAAAGTTAAATTTTTACAACATCCCATCCCATCCCATCTTTTCCCATCCCACCCAAATCTTCCCACTGCACTAGGACTTAAAATACCACTTCTAACAACTTAGTTTCTATTGAAATCTTTCCCCTACAATAATTTTTATAGCAGTTTTTATTCCCTTCTTGTTCATTAAATTAGAAAGGCCAACAATAATAGAAGCCTCCCTCCTTTTTTTTTTAATTTTTTTACATGGCTAGGGAAATTAGGATGAACTTTTCAAAGAAATATATCCCCTGATGCCAATGTGCATATTAGGTATTTATTTCATTTTCAAGTCCATGCTAGTAAAAAATCAAACAATCTCCCTTTAACAAATGTCAGGAATATGGTGCATGTCAAAATGAGTTTTCTTTTGTTGCTGTTTAGGGAATTCTGTCTCCAAATTGTTAGCACATATTTACCATCAAGATTGAAAGTATCAACATGGTGGGGCATATCGTATCGAATCAGCAACTGCCGATATGCCTTTTTTAAGCCTAATCCCAAAACTGACCGTTTTAAATGTTAATGATACTTAAAAACCTATCTCTCTCCCTATTTTTGAAAAAAAAGTTCTGTGGTATAAAGTATCGCTACACCCCTTCCACCTTATCGGGGTACATTGATACTTTTAACCTTGTTTATCATTGTAGGCAATTAAATTTCCAGGTCATTCCATAATGTTTTCAACGTTTTAAAAACCGACCTAGAAACAGAACCATTCTATCTACCGGTTTCTGGGTCAGCGGTTTAACCGTCCGGGTCAAATGGTTCGGATGGTTTGTATATTAGTGAAAATGTTTATATGAGATTTGCCCTAGTATGCAAACCTCATAAGAGATGTTAGTTGAAAAAGCCAGAAAGCAGAAGGAGAAAGGAGAACTGTTGTGTAAGAAAGAAAAAAAGAAAGAAGAAGGAAGGAGAGGAGGGAAGAAGAAGGAAGAGGATGAGGATGATTGGATGCTCACCAGCGACGAGTTATTGGATCTCAGATACAAAGATATAAATTTGAGATCTGAGATAGAAATTTGAGATCTGAGTTATTGGATCTCAGATTTGAGATCTGAGTTCTCGGATCTTAGATCTAAGATCAATTTCTCTAAAACATCTGTAGAAGAAAGTCTTCTTCTTCTTCTTCTTCTTCTTCTTCTTCTTCTTCTTCTTCTCTTTGTGCTAGTTCCCAGATCTGTGTCTGTGTCTTAGACTGGATCTCAAATCTGAATCATCTGAGTTCTCTCTATAACTTTATATTGTGAACCGCTGGCTGGGTCGAATGAGTCGACGGTTCGACCGTCCAGGTCAGCGGTTTTTTGACAATGTCAACGGGTTTTGACCCAATAATGGGTTAGGGGTGAAATGGAACTGGTTGTCTGGACGGTTTCCAGGCCAAACGGTCCGATTGTCCGGGTCAATGACGGTTCAAAAACATTGGTTTGTATTACCTATCCGCATCATTCAATATATTGCCACTAGACACTACATTATAGTTATTTTAAACTACCATTACTCTCCATCCACTAGGTGAGGGAAGATTGAATGGAGATATGCTCAAGTAGGTGTATTTGGTAGAGATGTCAATGGATTAGATAGTGGTATGATCCAATTCAAATCCTCAATCAAGTTAAATAGATGTTGAATATCCTGAAAGTAACTAGTCTTAAATGAATTGAAAATTAACAAACCTATTATGCTATTGGATTGAATATCCTATAAAGTGACTACATATTTCACCCTTCTCGAGCTTCTCCCTTATAAAATTCTTGCCAACTTAAATATATTTTGTTCTGTCATAGAAGACAAAATTAACTACAATATTTATAGCTGCCTTATTGTCACAATAGAGGGGCATAGGGTTGTCAATTTTAAACCCCAATTCCCCTAAAATATTTTTCAACCAAAGCACTTTAGCAATTCCATGTGCCATAGCCTTGTACTCAACTTTAGCATTAGACATCATAATTATACTTTGCTTCTTTTTCCTTCAAGTTTCCTTCCACAAAAGTACAATATTTATTAGTGGATTTCTTATCATTTATAGATCCTGTCCAGCTTATATTAATATAAACCTCCAATTTTAGGTGATCATGCTTCTTAAACAATAAACCAGTCCTTAGGTACTTCTTTAGGTACTTGAGAATCCCCCTTTGCACCTTCCAGGTTAGTTGTCTTAGGAGAATGCATAAATTGAATGAAAACTCCCACAACATAGGTAATGTCAGGATGTGTTGTGGCTAAATACAAGTCTTTCAATTAGCCTTTGAAACTGCTTTACATCTTTTAATGGTTCTCCGTCACAATCACCCAGTCTATGATTAGCATCAATAGGGGTATCGATTGGCTTTGCCCCTAGTTTACCCATATCTTGTAAGAGATCCTGGATGTATTTCTTTTGAGAAATGAAGATCCTCTTTTGTAGATGAGCAACTTCAATCCCAAGAAAATACATAGGTTGTCATAGATCTTTCATTTCAAACTGATTTGCTAAAATCTCTTTTAATCTTTGTATTTCA